ATCGACCTTTTTTCGCGAAGCGGGAATACTCCATCGGAGCAACCAACTAAACACTACTCTGTTGCTTCAAGCGATGACAGCGAACTTTTCCTTCCACACACCCCACACACAAACACCATCCAGCTGTAGCGCGGTCGAGATGCTTGCTTCAGTCAAGGAAACACGCAACACCACGCATGCACGCACGTCCGTTCAAAACGCCAGCCACCACCTAATTTCCTGACCCCGTTCGCCCGTCACTAGACACAACAAAACACCATCCAACGTAGCTCGCGCAAGTGATAATCTCGCGTAGATGACGATTGTCAGCCGAGGCCATGAATTTGTTTTTCACCTCTCACGGCTCCGTCACACACTGCGAGGCTCAATCAACACAAGACCAACATGATGTAGGTCACATGTACGTGTGGGGGGGGGAGGGGCATGGTCGACACAAACTCGAAAATAAATGTGGACATGATCAATTAACCACCAGACACACACGATTCCTCCGAACCGAAAAGTGAGGGACGAAATGACGGGCGGGGGTAGAGAGAAACCAATCCGTCCATCGTGAAACAAACAACCTTGTATCATACGCGTACAGGTTTCCATCCCATCAAGCTGCACTCGGGCTGGGGCCTAAACTATTACACCATGATATCGAAAAGTCGATACGGTACAAAAGCTATATATCTATCAGCTCAATCGAAAAGATGGTGCCTAATGGAGAACGAAAGAAAAATCGGCACGCGCGCCAGCCAACATCTTCAGCCAAAACACCGACACATCTCCTTTTACATACAGCATGATCGTGCTGCTGCTGCTGCTGCTGCTGCCGCTGCTGCAGCCGTTAAACACTATCGCCCGCGACAGGAGCAGCAGCAGCACAAAAAAAATGAAATCAAGAAGGGTGAATCCGCCCTCCCGCCCCCCTCCAAAAGCACCAGAAGTCTTCTAACGAATACCTATGATAGAAACGGACGGCAATAATTCTAGGGAAGGCAAAAAAAAACGCCTCCTTACTACGAGGATTAGAGAAAGCCGGACAACGAAGGTTCGCCAACCTCAAGGGTACTAGAGGGGGCGCAAAACCAAACCCTCGCGAGGAGGTACGCAAGGAGATGATCTTCCAATCTTTCCGAGCGAAAAAAAACGCCAATTGAAAAACATCAAGATTACGACCAAAGTCGACACTCCTTCTTCGCACGCGGCGGGCGGAGAGACAAGAGCCTTGTCTCCCCCTCCCTGCTACACAAGGGCAAAAAAAGCATGAGCACCCAATGAAGATGGAAGACGAGCCCAGCCTTTTTTTGTTGTTGCGTTTCTCGTCGTGGCCGCAGGGGGTGGCGTAGACGGGAGTCACACCGGAATAAATTCCAAGAGCGCGCTAAGCGCGCGCGCCGATAGGCAACCGTAGTTTGGGGAGGGTCGGAAACCGCTGGTCGGAGCCAATCAGGGACAGCCAACAACAAACGTAGAAACACACGGCACCAACCCTGGACGGCTTGTTGACTACTCAAGTCTTGAACAGACACACATAAAACAGCGACAGAGCGTCGCTCTCGCCCCCGTGGAAAAGGTACACAATTCAGCAGTGATTTTTCCGAACAGGCCGACATGAACCAACAAAAAAAAAATCCGTCCAACCTCAACCGCCGCCACAGGGACACAAAACAAGGTTTCAAGATCAGATTTAGGACAATCACCGACAAAAAAAACGCTATTCAGCCAATTACAACGCAGGAAGACATAGAACAAACAAGATCTTGGCTGCAGAAATAAGTGTGGATATGATCAGACGTCGCACGCAACAGTGAAGGTGCACTTTACAGCAAACGAGGCAAACACACAAAAAACTGACAACACGGGCCTTCAGTTCCCCAAATCACCCCCCCCCCCCCCCCCGCTTTCTGAAGGCCCCCCAAGGGAAAACCGGGAAAAACCTTCCCCCCCCACCGGCAAAAAAGGGGGCCCCAATAAAGCCTCATCCCCCCCCCGAAAAAAAAACCCCCATCAAGAAAAACGCAACCCGACCGGGGGGCTAAAAAAACCTCCCCAACCCCCCAAGTGGGGAGGTTTTTCCCGAAACCACACAAAAAAATTGGAAGAAAATGTTTTTTTAGTGGGGCGCCCCCAAAAATTTTTTTTTGCCCCCGGGAAAACGGGGGCCAAAAGGTAAAAACGGAAAAATTTAAAAAAAACAAAAAAAATTTTCAGGCCCCCTTTCTGCCCGTAAGGGGCCCAAATAAAAACCCAAAGGGAATGCTCCCCCCCCCCACACCCCCCGCCAAACCCTTTTAAACCCAAAAGG